TAATTTGTGAAATAGTGACATTTCGAGATAGTTGAACTTTGCACAAGCAATAGTTGATGATAAGTATATGTACCTAAATACGTTCAAAATAATGTGCACAGAGTTTTAAAATTATATTAAGGAAAATACATAAGTTTTGAAACAAGTTCACAGCAACGAAAAATATGACTGATATTTTAATGTTATCTTGTACTTAAATGTTTTTCTTCCATGAAACCTAGAGTACTTATAAGTACAGTGCCGTACAAAATTATTGGCTCGGAGCAGTGATCGGACTTCTACTACATTGTGGTAGATCTGCCACTTTTTTGAGCATCTACCACATCTACCACACAAGGTCTGAAATCTATCACATATTCGCGTTTTTGAGTAGTTTTATTTTTGCTCGACATAATTTTCTTAATTCTTAAGAGCAAAAATTGTCCAGCACTAAACACTAACAACAAAGCCGAATGGGAGGATAAAATAAACAGTAAATAGTAAATTTTCTCAATAATCAACTTTTCGACAGGAAACGTGGTTTCATTGTGTTAAATTGCAAAATATATGATTTATAAAAAGAATTAATAGCGATTCTTGTGAAAGTATTAGCAAATTTCAGTGCGTCTAAAGTTCCTAAGACGTTTTTTACTTTTTCCTGGGGATTTGTAAAATCGGCAAATCCNCAGGAAACGTGGTTTCATTGTGTTAAATTGCAAAATATATGATTTATAAAAAGAATTAATAGCGATTCTTGTGAAAGTATTAGCAAATTTCAGTGCGTCTAAAGTTCCTAAGACGTTTTCTACTTTTTTCTGGGGATTTGTAAAATCGGCAAATCCAAAGTAGCTGTTTCTGGAACATGCCACATTTGTTCGCTACATCGTGATGTGATAAAAAGAAACGCTGGCAGCACTCTCAAAATATGTTCGAAAAATATCTTGATATGGAAGGAACTGCTTAACACTGTCAAGGAAAAAAATTGCCACAACTAAGCACAGTTTTTTGCAACTTCAATCTTGCACTTTTTTATTCTAATGAAAATGTTTACAATTTAGGTGAAACCTTGCAGATTGTTTTTAATTTTTGTACCAAATTTGATCCAAAACCTGAGATCTACCACATTTTTTTGAAATCTACCACATTTTTTTCCAGATTCTACCACACACATTTTTTTAAAGTCCGATATCTGGCTTGGAGGCTCTTTCATCAGATCACAATTTCTAATCAGATCTTTTAGAAACATTTTGAAAATGTAGCTTTTGAGCCAATTAATAAAGTGCAAGTCTGAAGTTGCCAGCAAATTTCGTTGATTTTTAAAAATTTTTTATAAAAGGTCTGATTAGAATGTTGCAAATTTATTGAATTTTCCCGAGTTTAGCACAAAGTTTAACAATTTTATATTTATGTTTTTTTTTTTATATATTTAGTATAAACTGTATTTTTTTAAAGAATAAAAAAGGTTCAAGCATTGTGAAAAATTCTCTGTGCTTTAGTTGTGATAAGTTGTTTTGTTTTGTTGGCGTACGTTGTAATGATCTCATGATCTCATGTTTTTATGTTTTTGCATTTGTCTGTCAAAATAAAATTTCACTACATCCCTTCGCACGTCGAAAAGAAAGAGAAGGGAGCGAGAGGCCCTCCCTAAAGTGTCCCGGTTTGGCAACAGAGATATCTGGCAGCCCTACTTAAGGGCACTGCACTTTTGCAAAGAACTATCTTGCGCTTACATTGGGTCAGGTGGTGTGGCATACATAGGGGCATTTTGGCAAATCCGTTTTCATAACACCACAAACCTCGATCCATTTTTGCTG